GTGTCAGAATCTTGCAAATCTGAAAGTACAATTCTCTCCTCCCCCCCCCCCCCCCCCCCCGAGTTTCCTTTACTGCCCAAGAAACTAGGGAAGGTCCCTCTGAGCCTCTTGCCCTGCCCACTATCCAGCTGCGGGCTATACTGTCTCTTATCTGACCATTCCCTTGGCAGTGTCTCTTTGCCCAGTCTCCCAAGGTCTTTCCCACATTCCATTGCAGGCATGAATCCACATGTCACACTAAACTATGATTTGTTTAACTATGGCTTATTGAGTAAATTGACTCTGGTTTATTCAATAAGCCATAGTTAAACACATCATAGTTTCATACAACATGTTTAGCCCAAACAAAGCCAACGTGTGTGATGACTTTGTACATTGTGTGAACCAGGTTGAAGACTAGGCTTAGTTTATCCATTATGAGCAACTTGGTTTCAGCAGTTTAATGAAGTGGGATGATAGTGTAAGATCAGCTAGACATGACTGCAGCAGCTCTATATGTTAGAACTGAGCCACCACTTCATTCTTCTGAATGGAGATTTAAACTAGAAAAGGAGTTGATGGGATAGATAGCTGGTATCCCACCCCATAGTTTTCCTCCCCCAGTTGCCTTCCTAAGCCTTCTTCCTGTGTAGAGAATAAGGAAGATGACCTTGATGGAGACATGCAGGAACCGTTACCTAGGCAAAAGGGGCTGAAACATTTTTTAAGTCCAGAAAGAGAGAACATTCTGAAGTGGCTCAGGCAGACACCTCCCTAATTCACTGAATTGTAAGAAGTGGGAGGAGGTCCAGCACAGACAGACTTGCAAGAGACTGTTATTGTAGCCAATCTCAACAAAAGTAGCTTTAGCCTTCCTGTGGAGTTGATTTCCTGGTCTGGTCTACCTAATGGGGCTGACAGCCTATCTCAGTAGGGTTCCAGATTTGCATGTCATTCTTATCAAGAGAAAAGCAGATAGGCCAAAGACGTTGTGAAAGCTGAGCATCAATTTCACTCATTTGGTACAACTAACATTTGAATAGCTTTGAATACATTGGTTGGGAAGTGGTGCTAAGACACACAGGTTGAACAAGAACGAAACTTGCAATAAAAAGTATGGCTCTCTTTGCACAGTTGATGTGAAAGCATGTAGCAAAGAGATCTCTGGCCAGGGTCCAAAGCAGTCACATGCCTGTGAAAGAACTGCACAGAGTTACTGCTGTGCTTTGTTGCTTGAAGAAACAAACTGCTGATCAACGTATCCAGTGCACACTGGTGCACCAAAAGTTCCCGTTTGAGGTGCTCTGGTTTCATAGGCAGCTTCTTTAGACCTTGGCAGAAACTACTGCTAGGTTCTGTAAGATTTACTAAAGAAGGCCCTTCCCACTCCCATTTTTCTTCTTTGAAGCCCTCCACAGATTGTATCTATCTGCAGTCAATGGTCATTGCTGATTCTCATATCTGGAAAGAACATTCATCAGTTGACTTCACTGCTTGAAAAGCAAAGGTAGATTAAGAAGACTTATAAAAGTAGCGATGACTCATATCTGATTCTAAAGGCAAATTTTCTGTGGAGAATGGCTTAATGGCTGAGGTTAGACGCCAGTCTGAATGGGTGGTCCATTAACTTTCTTTCTAACGTTCCCTTTCTCCCCCTTGCTCTCTTTTTCCTTGACACCCATCTTTCTCCCCCCTTCTTTTCTTCTTCCTTCTGTAGTAGGCTAGGACAAATGCTCTTTCTAGGGATCAGAATGGTTTTCTTACAAAGGGCTTTTGCAGTTAAGCTAAGGGACACAGGCCCCAGGGGTTCAGCCCAATCTATAGGATATGGTAGCACTGTAGCTAAAATTGATGTCCCATAGAGGCAACCTAGCCTGCCTTCTCCTTTTGAATCCCGGCTGCTCTCACGCTGCCACAATCATGCTAGAGATGGAGATGCCATCTGGCGCTGTTTCTCCTCCAGGCCAGTCCATTTGCTGACAACTTTGGCAGGCCTATTCGGAACACGGTTTACATGAAGGTGACATTGCTGGGGCCGCCTTACCTACTGTGTCCAGACTGCATGCTTCCCCCTGCCTAGTGCTGGGAAGATCGGCTCACGGAGGAAAAATATCCTCAAGAGGAGTCCGAATACAACTGCGGGAGACGCGTGCAGTCTGTGCCTTTTCCCTCTAGCTTCCAATGGCTGGAATGTCCACAGCCAAGATACAACGCCTTGTCACAAAGGCACAAACAACAGCACAGGGCTCTTACCAAGAGCATGCGTTTGACTTGATCCTCGGTGCTATTAGTCAGTTGGCTTTCCATCTTCAAAAACTGCAGGAATGAAAATAGGGATTTACCGCATGAAAGGAGAAAACTAGGAGGAGCCCCCCTTTCCCTGGAATTACAGTAGGTAATGGCAGGGACATCTTGTGATCATAAGGGCATATATCCACTGCAGGCTTGCTTAGGACTACCTTCCCCAGCCTGGTAACCTCCAGAGGTGTTGGCCTTCAACTCCCATAATCCTCCAGCAAGCTGCACTGAAAGGAGTTTATGGGAAATGGTGTCCAACATATCTGGAAAATGACTGGCTGGGAAAGGCTGCCTTAGAAATTGCTGAGAAATGTAGCTTTGCGAGGCCTAGGTTTCTCCAATCAAATGTTGTCAGCGCCCATAGCAGCCTACAGTTGCCAGGATTCACCATGATATATAGACATAAAATAAATATGAGGGTATATATGTCAGGATAATAGCTTTTACAAATCAGTTTGGACTCACATATTTCCAAAATGAATTGATTTTCATCTCAGCTATATCATTAGCACTGAAGCACACAGCATCTAATGCACAAATCAGCGAGATAAAAGTTGCCTCTTTCATTTGCTCCAAGTGAGAATCTGACACTGAATATCCTCTTCTTTTGATCTCTTTCTTTTTCCCATTATTATCTACAACTTGGATACCCAGAGAGCCAATTTGGGATAGTGGTTAAAGTTGTTGTTGTTGTTGTTTAGTCATTAAGTCGTGTCCGACTCTTCGTGACCCCATGAACC